ACCACTTCGGCATCCCCCCGGGCGCCCCGCTCTTCGCGGTGGTGGACCTGCTCTCTGGCGTGCAGGCGGTCACGCTCCTGCCAGGGGCCGAGCCCCCCGCCGGGGCGGCGGCGCAGGACGCCAGAGGTGGCTCTGCGCGCTGCATGGCGGGGTTCCACCGGGCGGCCATTGGCTCAGGGGTGAGCATATCGATGGACGGCCTGACCGCCACCCTCACCTCCAAGTGGGCCACGGACGCGGTGGGGGGGCTGGCGATGGGGGACGGGCCGCTGTCTCGCGGGCAGGACGGCTCCGCTGCCTTCCAGGTCCGCGTCGACTCCGTGCTGGGCGGGGGCGGCACGCCGCCGCAGCAGGGCATCGCCCTCGGCGTCGCCACACGCCCGCCCTGGGAGCTGGCGGCCGCCCCACCGGCGACCGGCGACCAGGTGGAGCAGTCCTGGCTGGTCGGGCTGGACGGCGCGGCGTGGAACGGGAGCAGCCACGAGTGGGAGGTCAGCAGCTGGTTGCCCGCCAGCCTCGTGAGGGGCGACGTCGTCGAGGCCCGCGCGACGCCGCGGGGCGACCTCGCCATTCTCGTGAACGGGCGGCAGGTGGCGGTCCACGCGATGCAGATACCACCCGGCGCTCCGCTCTTCGCCCTCGTGGAGCTGGTCGGCTGCACGCGCGGCGTGACACTGCTGCCGCCATGCCAGCAGGGGACCTGCGCCTCGCCGAAGCAGGGCGCCGTGCCGACGCAGCAGCAGCAGCAGCAGCAGCAGCAGCAGCAGCAGCAGCAGCAGCAGCAGCAGCAGCAGCAGCAGCAGCAGCAGCAGCAGCGACAGCAGCAGCTGGGCGGGGCCTCTCGTGCCGCCAGCGGCCCGCCTGCGAAGGCGCCGACCAAGCCGATGCAGGGCTTCCACCACGACCTGGTCGGCAAGCACGTGCACCTGTCCCACGACGGCATCACGGCGTCCAGAGCGCGCGGCGACCAGGGGCTCGAGCACTGCGTCCTCCTCGGCGACGGCCCGCTGCGGCCCCGGCCCGACGGCAGCGTGGCCTTCGCTGTCGCCGTGACCAAGGTCTTGGAGCTTCCTGCCGGGCAGGACTCGGGCGAGGGCCTGGCCATCGGCTTCACGGCGCGCTGGCCCTCCGAGCTGCCTCCCCACGCGCACGAGGCCGAGCTGCAGCCCTCCTGGCTGGCCGGGTACGACGGCGCCGTGTGGAGCGGCACCGCGCCGGCCAGCGACAGTTGGGGGCAGTGCGAGTGGATGCCCTCCAGCCTCGCGGTTGGGGACGTTGTGCGCGCCACCATGACGCCTCAGGGCGACCTGCACGTGTCGGTGAACGGCCACCGCCGGGCGACCTGCGACCTCGCGGCGGGCGCGGCGCCCTCCCGCCAGCGGCTCTTCGCCCTGGTGGACCTGCTCGGGTGCACCGCGGGGGTCTCGCTGCGGCACACGGGCCAGGACCACACGCCGCTCGACCAGGCGCAGCCCATGCGCGGCTTCATGCTCGCCGGGCCCCGGCTGGAGCTCTCCAGCGATCGGCGCGCGGCAGCCCGCCCGGCCGGGCCGCCGTCGGACGGCGTCGGCTGCACGATGGTGGGCGACGGGCGGCTCGAGGCGCAGAGCGACGGGAGCTATGCCTTCGCGCTCTCCATCACCGCCGCTTTCAGGGGCGCCAGCGACGGCCTTGTCCTCGGAGTCACGACGCGCTCGCCGCGGGAGCTCCTGCGCTCCCCGGCCGCGGCGCACGAGGTGGACCCCTCCTGGCTCTGCGGCTTCGACGGCGCCGCCTGGAGCCTGGCGGGGGGCTGGGCGCACTGCAACTTCAACCCGGCCACGCTCGCCGTAGGCGACACAGTGCAGGTCACCGTCACACCCGCGGGCGAGCTGAAGGTTCCCCGCAGGAGGCAGCTGCGCACCACCGCCGTGCAGGGCCAGGGCCATCCTGAGCCCCACGATGGTGCACGGAGACCCTCGTGGTTTCGGCCAGGAGCGCGCGGCGACCTACAGTGCTGGCGCCCAGGGTGGCCCTGGCCAGTCCAGGGCGGTGATGCATAGCTGCCTTCCCAGACATCCAGCGACGTGATTTTTCCAGCGTGCGGGCCGAGGTCCCCACCTATAATTAGATTCCCTGGGGGTAGGTCTTCGCCCCGAATCTGTTCTTGCTGGTCCCACGGGATCCGGGAGCAGGTCCCGCAGGCCGACGTCGAGGAACGCGCCCCTGGATTGGAGCCAGAGACAGGTCGTCGGGAGGCTCTGCCCCCAGACGCCCGACGCCATGATTTTGTCCTAGTGCCGACCCCTGGAGGTCTCGACTCCTTCCCCTGGACCGGTCTTTCATCCTGCGCCGATCTCTGACGGCCCCGAGGGCCGGGCAGAGCCCCCAGAGGCCGAGCATAGCGCAAAACCTCCCGCCGAGGAGGAGGAGGAGGAGGAGGAGGAGGAGGAGGAGGAGGAGGACGAGGACGAGGAGGAGGAGGACGAGGAGGAGGATGACGAGGACGAGGACGAGGTGG